ATCCGCTAATTCTCAGATTTAGATGAGCCGAAGCTGTTACATTCAAATGTACGATAATGCCTTATTGACCAAGCAGAAATAATGAATTTTACCAACATTGACTTTCGAACTATAACAGTTAACCAACAGCTTTAAAGAATACATAAACACATGACTCGTAGTTGGAATATTTGTTATAGTTCTAGAAAACTATAAGGCATTAGGATAAATATTAGTCATGTTTGGTAACGAAAAGTTAATGTTTTTGAAGTTATCCAACTTGTTCGTAAGTAATTCAACAATTTTCTGGATGACGTCAGCTTATATCTCAAAGTTTACGATCCGTATAATGTAAATTTGATTCGCCCTGTCATTCAGAACGGTTGATAACTATTTCCTTTTACCTCTAAAAAAAATGATAAAAGTTTATGACAATCACGGTAAATGTTTGACACAAAAACTTGGTAGGCGAACGAAAATATTCAGCATAAATACATCCAGCTGAAAGGAAATAAAACTATCAAAATATTTACGTCTGCAAGACAGTACAATTCTTATAATCTGACACGATTAAATCACTTAGAAACTATCAAATTTCTTCTATTTTCTATATTACAAAACAAATTGGAATAAAGTGGTGTTCAAAACCTTTAATTTCAATTTTTTTTTCACATCTTTTAAGAGATTAAATAATCAACTAACGAATATATAAGAAACAAATGTCATTTACAGCTAATGGATAATACATAGCTTAAAAGCATTCAACTGTACATATCTACGTTTTACATATATACAGTACATATGTACTCATACACATACATACATATAATATACATATTGGGCAATACAAACTATACATTCAATTAGTTTACCATTTATGCGTCAGCTGTTTTCCAACTAATCCATTAAAAGAAACTTATTACTTTTTATTTTGCATTCATTTTGAACTTTCTACAATATTCATCTTAAAAAGAAAAACAACGAACAAAATCTGTTCTAGTAATTAACTCAAAATGGTTTCTATTTTGTGATTAAAGGTAATATGATAATGATACTACTCTAATGGATTTCATCCATATAACACAATCATTGTTCTAATTGACTAGTTATTGTCTGTAAATTATTCTTTTTTTTCTTTCAGTTAAAACTCATGAAATGTGCATTATATTACGAAAGTTTATGTTATATCATAATAGTTAAGTAACTAGTTGGGGAAAAAAAGTCTAGTACATATTGGGAAAAATGTTTAAAATATTTTAGACTATCTGTTTGTTTGCATAACGACAAAGATTTTGTCAACTCCTTAATCACATAATAAATTCTTTAGAGTTTTTGATAGTTTTCATATTCAATTGTACAAATGATTTCACAGAAAATTTAAAGTGTTATGTTTATTTTACATCAAAGTATTCAATCTATTAGCATAGTTACTATGTATATTGTTCTTAAATATTCAGTCAACAAAAAGAGATTTTTCTATATGTGTGTGATAGTATTTTGTTAAAACATTGATATGAAGTTTTGTGATTGTGCAAACGTATATAAAACGGAAAATGGTATAAACAAATAGATAGAGAAAAAAAAGATTAATGTACCAATGTGAATGGAAATATATGAACTTATGTATTATCTTATTTACACTAGATTTTACCAAGATAAACTGATTTATTTATTTATAACTAAAATATAACAATAGTTGGTTACATTTTAGTGTGTCTGTTTTTATTTGTGTTTTACTTCACTCATTATTATGGTTAGTCATCATAATGACTACAGATGAAGTTAAAATGAAGTGATAAAAACAAATGTTTATGAACACATTTGAAGCATAGATAATTGAACAATTGTTGACATTGCTTAGATTTCTAACATTAAGTGGCCTCTTGAAAAGTCTATTGATAGATTGTCATCATCTTACAGTGTTGAACGTCGATTAAGATAATCTATTCACTTAGTTTTTTTTTGAATTTTATTTTTAGTCAATCTTCAATAATCAACACTTATGTTCCATTTCAATATGTATTAAGTGAAAATCTCCAATTACTCTTATAAAATATAGTAAAAACTCTCATTTGTATAATACAATAAAATCAATATGATATATTAGCGTAATACATTTGGGACAATCTGATCACACATACACTTGTTAAGATCATTTATATATAAAAATAAAAGGTCAACTAGACTAGAAATGGGTGGGGGGATAAGAGAAAACAAATATAGTAAAGAATATGATCGGGAAAAGAATTGAAACCTCATTACGCTAGATAATAAGTTAATATTACCGAGGTAGGTTTAAGGTGAGAACAAACTGTGTTTGAATACTTAAAGTGAATTTGCATTTTCATATGTTAAGGCTTTAATAAACAAACAAAGCTTTAATAAACCCTTTTACACTTTTGTGCAACACCACAAAATCTAAGATCAATCTTATGACCTGTTTCAACTATGTGTTTGGCGATAGAGAATGATGGATGTTTATTATCTATTCTTCTTGAGTAATCAGATTTTATACAGTTAGTTCCCTTTATAAATTTAAATAAAGCCAGAACAAACATTGATGCAGAATAATATAAATTCATTATATTTTGTGGTTTTTCATCAGCTGCTTATTTGTTTCTGCAACCATTTAGGTAAATGTTCAGACATCTTAATTTTGTGATCATGATTACTCATACCTATGTATGTGTAGCCACACACATATTTAGTTAACAGTATATTCTACTTCCCAAGTTACATTTTATCAGTTTTTTTAATGCATTTACATCCTTTATAGCAATCAATTTAGCCAAAATGATGGTGAAGAAATGAATAATGATAATAAAGAGTTACTTGTACATTTTAAGTTGTATAGAAAAACTATTCTAAAGAAGGGATCAGTTAAGCAAACAAGATGATAATAATGACGACTATGGAAAACGGCTTCAAAAGTGAATTCAGTGAAAATTGAAATCAGATGTCAATAAAACGGATTAATTGCACATTAATCATAAGTATATTTGATAATTATGTTTCATTAGTCAGATAAGAACAGAAAATATATTGGAATAGTTTTGGTTTCAACGATAAAAAGGTCAGGTTTGTCAGCTGTTTTAATATATTAAGTAAAATATCTTGTTCAAGGATCGATTAATGCAAATGTAGAGAATATTGTGATTGTAAAAATTGTTTCCGAATACAGAGGGATTTTTAGTCGAACAAATGACTTTGGTTTCAGTTGTAAGTATCTAAGGTGTTTGTAAATCATGGAACAGATAACTTTAGACACATTACTGATGTAAAACAGACATCCAGTATAACTTATGTGTGCTTTTAACTAATTTTATTCTATGTCATGTTTGAGGATTCGAAATATTCAATTAGGATCAGTGTAACTACTGTTGCCAATCCAGAAGCTTTTATTTTTTCTCCTATTTGTGAAGATGAAGTTAAAAATGATTTCACACTTTATATCATACAAATTAATTCTTTTCCTTTTGGATCATACTCACTAAGACTACCTTCTTTACTATCATGGATACGACATCTATGACTGAAACTTTGTGTTTTCCTTGATTATTTCATCTCAATATACTGATATCGTATGACAGCTTGAATCGATGTAATTATGTTACATAGGTTACTTGGGACTGTTAAACGAACCAATAGTAATAAGGATTGTTAAACCATATCATAAGCGATGACTTTTACAGAAATACGCTTGTGAAAAACATATGTTTTGTAGACCATTTACAAAGTCAATCAATCATTTTTTTCAACTAGAAATTAGTTATATTGATTGACGAATATAACTTAACCGGTCACTAATATAATACTGAATCGATTGTCTTTACAAATTTATTACCATTAATAAAAGGAAACACTATATTTCAGAAATATGTATATACCATTTAGGAACTTTCTAGGAATACGCTGTAGTAGATTACAAGGTTTAACAATTCGATTCATCATATAAATTGACAACTACAATAATTTATGAGTTAGTTATAGTTTATAAATACATTTTGCAACGTATATATACCTTTAGCAAATTTCTATAGAATTCAGTGTTTTCCATCTGACTAAAACTGATGAATCAATTTCCTTTAGTAATACATTTTATTTCTGGCAATAACTTGAATAGATTTAAGTTGCATCTTTTATTAAATCTGATTATTTACCATTATGTGTAGATATGAGCAGAGGTTCTATTCAACAAAAAGAAAAGAATTTCATATTAACTGAAACTACTCATAATTAACAAATTAATTGAATTTAAGTATACTCTACAGTGTATAGTAGTATCATATTATAATCAATTTAAAAATATTATTCGCTTCTCTATTTAGTTATTCAGTTACTACATATACTATCTCATTTTGATGATTTAAACAGGTAATAACCATCAAAAAGTTATTAATGCTTTGAATAATTAATTATGAAGATGTCTAAAGTAATTAGTCCCTTTGATAAATTTCGATAAAAATCTTCGTCTTCTTATTACATCGAAATAAAGATGTCTGGTTGAAATTATAGAGCCAAATGACTCTGTGGCTAAAATAAGAATTTCATTACTAAACATATTAAAGTGACAGTTCAGTTCTAAAATACATCATGTTACTTTTAAATTGTAAAAACGTTCGTTATATTTCTGTTATAAACGTTTCCTGAAAATAATATAAAGAGTCAATCAACTGAATTCATCTTTCTATTTAACGCAAATCTTTAACTATCATCTATCCGGTAGATTGATTGACAAGAATATTACCATTATGTATTATTATTTCAACATGTTACCTAAGTATGTCAAAATGCTTATTGAATAGAATGGCTTGTTATAAAACTCCTGATAACTCATACTAGACATTATATTTTAACTTATCAGTAATATAGATACATATCATTTAACACTTAATCATAACACTAATATCGGAAACAATCTTCAAAATTAACTGATGGCTATGAACATTTAACAAGTTTCATACAAATTCTCATCCGTTTTTTTTCTAATCTTGTTATTATGTTTCATTTTTTATTTCTAGTATACACTATGAGGATAAATCTGTAGAAGAACGTAAAAGTAAGTAAAACTTACTCCTTATATTTCATTAAACTTTTATCTTAATGACTACTAACCGTGGTAAATATTATAAAAATAGAGTGACCACCACTCATAATGCTTTCTTACGCTAATAGGGACATTAAAAAATCTAGACTACTGAGTTTTCCATTGGATGTTTGCTGCATCAAACATTTCAAATAGATACCAGTCCATTCATAGAAAGCCGTTGACTGACCAGCAGAAATTCAGAAAAACGAAAAAGTGGAGTTATGAATTAATTTAGTTTAGTAACAAAAAACAATGTATACACATACCGAGCCTTTGAACTTTGATTTTTTTAACTTTTTGAAAAAGACACTAATATTGATAATAATGTTGATCCTTGACTAAACATAACAGTTAAGAACATAATCGTGAGATGGTGGAGAAGATTTGTAGCTCAGGAGGATGATTTTGATGGAGAACAAAACTCCATCAAAAAGAACATAATCATCTGATCTTTGAAATGTTCTGTGAAAAGCCTTAGATACTCTTAGTTGCCAAAATTATAAATTGGTTTCTAAAAATTCTTTAATGATAACAATCCTCTAACTATTTGAACTTAGTAAGTTCAATCAACTCTCAGTAAATTTGTAATGTTGTGGGTAATATATGTTTACTAGGTGATTTGATTGATATATGTTTATTCATAGTGATTGTTTATTTGCCTGTCTCTACAATGAAGATTGAATTTATTTTATTTCCTGTGTAAGTGTTTATGTGATATTCATAAAGAACTTATGATATGTCGATAGTTTCGCCAATTGAGAAATATCATACGTCACAAAAAAATTATGGGTAATTAAGTTCAAGTGATATCTTTTTTATAGCTCATGTTCCGTAGGTTTTAGGTATGGAGTTGAGGATAGAATTAGTAAGTGATGTCTGAACATTGTTCATAAAAATACATTTCGATGATTGCGCTCATGAGTCAATTGAAGCTAGATCACCATGGAAAACCTGGAAGCACTGGACGGCCGTTTCGTCCTATTGTAGAACTCCTCAGTAGTGCGCATCCACTATCCCACATCGCGAGATTCAAACTCAGGATATATCAGTCTCTCATACGAGCGCTTAAACATTAGACCACTGAGCCAACATCCAACGGTGAAAATGTCTAACTTCAACCAGTCCTCGAAATTGAGCGACACATCCACCATTGTCTTCAGTGAGTTATTATCTCACAACAGACCCGGTTGAACTCCATCGGTCACTGATTCAATTAAAAGTAGAATAAACACAGTTAATTAAGTCACATTTTTACCACTGAAGCAATTCATAAATTCATGCAGTATAAATATTTGTATCCTTACGGTTGAGATAATTCTGGAAAGCATTTCTATCTTATACTTGAATTTTGATAACATTTTGTCATCAAAAGCAACATATTTCTGTCTAACCGTTTTGACTAAATCCCAATCATATTCAAAATAAATAGTCTTCACAAACCCTTATCGTAGGTATTGGTCTTGTTGTCATCAGCAAGGAGCCTAAATATTGATTTCCAGAACATTTAGCTCGATGCTGTGACTTGATAAAATCGAATGATATCAAGATTGACACAACACCACCATTGACTCTCGTGACTGAGTTGCATTTGAAACTTAATCGGAATGGTAGATATATATCATTGAGTTCAATCTTACTGAGTTAAATGTGTCAGACGATGCACAAGAATCTAAAGTTTCATGATCTGATACCATGTTCGCATATGACCGGGGAAGTTACTATCTCACAACATACCCTGTTGCACTCGACTGGTCACTGCTTCTCACTAGAATATATTTATCAAATGCTGGAACCCTGATGCTATAATTATTGTTGTGAATAAACACAGTATCAAGTTTACTTTAATAATTTCGTTAACAAGTTTTGTTCATTCTCTTAAATAGTCAATTTTGCTGTCTTTCTCCAAGTGAAAACTGTCATTTATCAGTTATTTAATTATATATATAATTTACTCTGTTTTCTCTCAATATTTCCTCATAGAATGAATTGTTCTGATTAGAATACGTTTTATATGGTCATTTATTAGCTTCATAGACCTTCCAAATTTAGTTATATATTTTTTAAATGTAATTCGACTAACATAAACAATTTGAATATAGTTAAATCACTGATTGAAGATTTTTCCATCATCACTATGGATTCATTCAAAAACTTATCGGATAAATTAGTCTGGAATATAAGTAATAACAACTTGGCTAGTTTTTTTTTAAACATTGCCGATTCCTAGACAGAATGAAGAATTAAAGCTGCTGATGTGTGTAAACTGAGTTGAAGTACCTATCTAGATTGGTTTTTAGGGATTCGCAAGCTATTTTTTTCAGTGGAAATGCATTCCTTACATATGGAATGTGGTCTTGGTAAAGATTTACTGTTCATAGAAACAGTGTCTGGTCATATGGTAGAATTGATGGGGTCAGGGTGATTTAAAACATTTCCCTTTGAAACTAAACATGTTTATAGACAAGATATTACAGCAAATATTAATTTATGTGAAACACCCAAGTGAGAGGTAAAGATTTCGTACACCCGAATGGTTGTAATGTAATTTTTATGTATATTATGACATTAAAAAACTTTCATTTTGTGTAGTCTTTATAAAATGAAATATGGTGCTCACTAAAATAATCTGTTTATTTGATCAATGGTTGTCTAATCCCCCGAAATCAATAAAGGAAGTGATTTCCAAAATATGTAACTAGGAGGAAGTTTGACAATATCTCGGACTCATTTATTTTTCAATATAGGGTTGTGAAGATTATTAGGTTTTGGTTGAGATAATGAATCGATTGATGTTAGACCACCATTGTAACTTGGAAGTACTGGACGGCCGTTTCGTCTTATTACGGGACTCCTCAGAAGTACGCACCCACGATCCCGCTTGTGGTAGAGACAGGTATTTACCTCAGTATAAAGGAAAATGGTCGCGTAAGTTCGTGAATCATTTGATGTTAGGCATTAATACCGTTGGATGCCGGCTCAGTGGTCCAGAGGTTAAGCTTTCGCACGCGAGATCGAAGGTTCGAATCCCGCTCATGTGATCGTCCCACAATAGGATGAAACGGATGTCCAGTGCTTCCAGGTTTTCAATGGAGGTCTAACAGTGTTGTTAAATTAAATCATTTCTCTTTACATTGCCAATCACTATGTACTTTATAAACATCGTTTTAAAAGCATCCAGTCAATTAAACTCTGATTTACCTTTCATTTTATTTCTGTTGTTTAACTGAAGAATATTTCTTTTAATATCCCCTAACAGCCTATATTCGATTAAGTCAACCAATGCGTAATTTAACTCGTTCAATCGGAGCAAAAGGAACATTTTATTGTGATATTCTTGGTGAACCTATACCTCAATTTCAGTGGTATAAAAATGGTGAAAAATTGTTAGAAAAACCGAATAAAATTAAAATAACCACTGCCTTATGGGGAAGCGCGTAAGTATTTTAGAATAAGTTATTTTTTTAATTTTTTTGTAAAAACCATTTTACTAGAAAGGTAACAAGAATTACAGTAACAAACCTTTGTCATAATTAAAAATACACATAGATTTCGGTACATTTGAACTTGACGTTATGCCATCAACAGGTTACAGGCGTGAATGGTATGATCAATAATATTCGAAATGATGTACAAACATCCTTTCAATACATTTAGTCATATTCGTTTATTAAAGAGAAGTCAGTTGAAACTTGAATCACATAGAAAACTGTCCAAAAAATATGTTTCATTTAATGGAACTCTAATATAATTTCAACATATTGGTCAAAGTTTTTGACATAGTTTATACATTATTCAGATAAAATAACAACTGAGTATCATATTCTCTAAACTTTAAGACTATTTGTGTCTTACTGAATATTCACTATCATGCATTTAACATCCTATTTTTTATTTGGAAAAAAACATGAAGGAAAAGTGACTTGTCGGTGAAATTTCAAATATGGACTGAACAACTATTCATTCTTCTGTGGTCTATCTCTAAATAGTTTGGAGCGCCAATTTTTTTCTCCTTTAACTTGTGTTTCATGCTATTTAGCACCAGTTATCAAATCTTTTATTGCTCATAAGTAGCTAGATCATACTTGTAATATAATAAGAGAATCCATTTACGGCAATCGCCCTACAAAAAAGCATTCATTGTAGTCGAATCCACCTTTCTAAACAAAGCTCATTGTAAATGTAATAAAATTCGCCTACCATAAAAATTCTTATGTCAGTGAGGTATATTTGCCACGAGTCAATTACAATAGATTTTAGTACACTGAATTATTGCATTTCATATGTCATAATGACAAAGTTACATTTAACATTTAATGAAATCTGATAATTAGATACTGTGAAACTGAGCTTTCATTATGCTTGACTGAAATGAAATCGGTGAAATAACAAAGAAAATATTAGTTTATTTTAAATTTATTCTATATTTTCTTCATAAACCTATTTCACTACTTAAATTAGATTGTTTTCCTCTAACAATTTCTAGTTTACGTGTGGAAAAATTACATAATTCTGACATTGGACAATATTTGTGCGTTGCAACCAATCCATCTGGAACATTGAATGCCACAGCTTATCTACAATTAACAAGTAAAAGTAAGCATAAAAGTTTCTGTTTCAGTATTCTGTAAAGCATATTTATTCATTTTTAGTTTTTTTTTTCTCTCAATAATCTGTTAAAACACAATGGGTTGTTAATTGAAACATCTTCACTCTATTAGAAGCAGCGCTTTATTTATAAATATACGTATTAATAGATGTGAAAATATCATCCCTTATGTTTGCCACTACTTATTTACCGATCGTATAAAACAATCCAAAAACAATATAGTGCAAAGAGAGTTTTAAAACAACCACGACGAATTTTCAGTTTATTCTTAAACAATCAGATGACACTCTTCTTGACAGTTAATTTACTGAAACGATGACAGTTAGAGGACTTAATGTACAACTTAAATTATGCGCATTTTTCAAAATATATTTTAGATTATGATGTAAAACTGTCAATTTCATTAATTATTAGTAATGGTAAGTGTTAAGCGTTCATGTTAGTTTCGATGATTTAGGTCACTCGTTTCATACTTGTTTAGTACATCTATGAAAGTAGATTTATTGTTCTGCCTTATAACTAGTCAACAGTTCTTACTCATAACATCTCACTATATTTAACCTAGAAAATTCAAGTTTTGTGAAAACCATTCTATCAAAATCTCTCATTAATTTACAATCCAATCAAAAACTTAATAAACTTCACAACCCATTACTGACAATTCAGTAAAACTAGGATAGATTGAAATTAATAAGTATGTTTCGTATTCCTAATACGGATAATCTCATAGATCACAACTGTTCACTATAGACATTCGGGAACATATCCCAAAATTAGACATATACAATAAGTATCCAATGCGTATTTAGAGAATGATTTATGAAGATCTATTCGATTATGGGTTATTTATAATCAGTTATTCATAACAACTAAAGAATTACTGGTCTTTATACAGTCTTAAAACCGTTTAGATTGCATTCATCACTGAAACTTACTATAATACATTTTACTCTTATAGTTATTATTTTCAGTATAGTTCACCATGAATTACATATATAGGAAATAGTATAAGCATCATTTTATCCACCAGGTGTAAATGAATTTATAAATAAACTAAATTTTAATTATATATGAACTAACAAATATTACAGATCATCAGTATGAGGGTTGTGGAGATTGTTAAGATTTTGGTTGAGATCATGAATCAATTGATGTTAGACCACCGTTGGAAACCTGGAAGCACTAACACCATTGGATGCCGGCTCAGTGGTCTAATGGTTAAGTGCTCAGGCGCGAAGCCAGTAGGTCCTGGGTTCGAATCCCGCTCGCGGGATCGTGGATGCGCACTGCTGAGGAGTCCCATACTAGGACGAAACGGCCGTCCAGTGCTTCCAGGTTTCCAACGGTGGTCTAATATCAATTGATTCATGATCTCAACCAAAATATTACAGAGTCCACCCTTGTAAGTATATTATTTTCCAATTACCTACAGATAACAATTAACTATACTTAACTATATATCCGAAATTTGTAAAAATATCAAAATTATTACTTCTTCGTCTCGTTCTTTTCCTTAAATCAAACACATATAACTTTAAATATAAATAAGAATAAACTTTATTCTCCTCCCCCCCATATCTATATTTACTAAAATTTCAGTTTATTAGTTCATTAATTAAAATCGAAATAAGTTTTGTTATTTATTTCTATACACAACACACACACAAAAAAGGAACAATAAAAATAAAATTTATGCATTTTGATGTAATTTTTGTTTTTATTTTCTCTGATTTTCCATACTAATTTACATTTTTATTTAAAATGCATTTTATTTTTATCTGAACATTGAATTAGTTAGCTAACCCTCCCCCCATCCAACGGATTAGTTACCAGTTAATTATTTTCTTTTTTGAGAAATAAAAAATGAATGTCGACCTAGTGAAAATCAATTTCATTCTTTCTATATGAATGATAAACTACAAATCATCAGCATTTACGTCAGTTAATTAATAAAGTATCAGTGTGGAGATTTTAATCGCTGAAAAATTCCCATTATATTAAAACATAATTATATGGACGAAAAATATTCTTTTCAATAATTTCTCATCAAATTCTACAATTATAAATCCAAATTAATAATCTATAAAATTGACCAGGTTTAAGGCAGAGTACATCATTAAAGATTGTAACATGTTTTCCATACGTTCAAAAATCCCGAGGTTGAAAGATAAATTGCTTAGACTAGCCACCTTTTTCTGTATCTATCAATTTAACTGCTTCTGTGGAACAATTTATACTGACAAATATTCTAGGAATTTGTACATTCGGGATCGTGAACACCTACCCGTGTGGTTAAGCAAAGGTGTAGTCGAAATGGTTAACAGTTCCATTTTAGACAATCTAGTTTAGCCAATATGGAGCAATCTTTCGCAATAATAATCATGTTAATAGCAGTCTACCTAATTCCATCAGAGTGAGAACCCTACAGACGGCTGAAGCAATTGCTATTCGGATCAAAAAGCTAGAGCTTTACATCCAAAAGAAATATGTTCAGCTAATCTTTTTACCCTGGCCAACTTTGGGGTTACCTTATGATATGATGACGTAATTCGATTAGTGTTCATTTTATGTCCCAAACTTATTATTATTTCTATCTTTACCATCTTTATCATTGTTATTATTACTATTATTACATTTGATAACATTTTTGAGGAATTTATTCAATATCCACCCCCATCTACTATATTTGACCCAATTCATATTATTCTATATATTACGTAATTTCTTATTTTTATTCCATTATTTTCTCGCTCACCCCATGTTGACCATATTTATTCTGACCATTCATCACACAATTTTATTTCGCGTATAAACTGATTCAAGTTAACACCTTATATTAGTCAGCCCCAACGTAAACTATTTGATTTGATTTTACATGACAAACAACAATTCCTGATTCACATGTTACAATCTTAAATGATGTACTCTGCCTTAAATCTGGCCAATTTTATGGATTATTAATTTGGATTTATAATTGTAGAACCTGATGAGAAATTATTGACAATAATATTCCTCGTTCATATGCTGCAAGCAATGTAGGGATTTTTAAAATTTTGTTACAAACATAACTGAAACCAAAGTGGAAACTAATACTCCGTATTTCATCATTTCATTATCGTCTCAACTTACTTTAACTATAATCCAATATTATCGATGATTAGTAAAGAAATGATTCCTTTCACAAAAACATAATTTCTCACTAGAACTTTGACATTACTAATCTCAGATCAGAACACTAATAATCAATCAGTAATTATTCTAACTAAATGATCTGTAAATACCTATTTTTTATTGTTTAGAAACATATAGTTTTCTTAAATTCACTTGGTGCTAATTTATTTGTATCTTCCCATGGTTATTTAAGACTACAATTGATCAGTCTCATGTTGATATAGGTGCATTCTGTGAGGATTGCCTCGATATAGCCTTAAGTCACAAGCTTTTTAAGGAAAGACGGATAGTGGCTAACAGTGGAATACAGGATGCGCGTTTCGTCCTATTTGGGACTTGTCAACTGGATGTACCTACATCCCAGAGTTGATGTTTGAAGCAAACGGTACTGGATTTGAGTCACAGAGTGAATATCAACTCCAAGATGCATGTACATCTAGCTGACAAATCCCAAACAGAACGAAACGTACGTCCTGAATTCCATTCCTTGCCACTATTCATCTTTTCATATGGTTTTCTTTTTCATGTATATTTGTAAAGAAAACATATTTCAGAAATCCATAATTATAGATGGTATTTTATTAATAAATAAATAATATTCAAATGTATTTTAGTCATCATTTTTCTTTGTATATAAATTATTACTGATAAAATTTACAGTTTTCACAGTATTTTGTATGATTCTTGCGTTGATTGTATTATACTGTATACAAGTCATAATCACGATACTACTGATAGTAATCTCTCTCCATTCTTGTTTAACTTTGTCGTTAACGTGCTTTTAGAGATAACACTTTCCACATCTAAATTTCCAGGGGTTAAACTTCTACCGGGAGATTCGCTTTCTGACCTAGAATATACCGATGACATAATTCTATTTGGTGAAGACGCTGACAAAATGCAGAGTCTACTGACCACTCTAAGCAACAATGCAAGCATGTTCAGGATGCGATTCTCTCCCTCGAAATGCAAAATGTTGCTTCAGGATAGGGTTGCATCGACACTCGAACTAATGATAGGGAGTGAAGTAATTGAGCGTGTCGACCGCTCCACTTATCTTGCAAGTCTTATCAGCCCTAGTGGTCTGGTGTGTGAGGAAATCTCATCACGGATACAGAAGGCTCGACTAGCTTCTGCCAACTTGCGTCATTTATGGCGTAGGCAAGATATCCATCTATCAACCAAAGGACGTGTTTACTGAGCAGCAGTTCGTCCCGTCCTACTTTATGGTAGTGAAATATGATCGGTAAGAGTAGAGAATATCCGTAGGTTACTAGTATTTGATCATAGGTGTCTTCGAAAAATTGCTCGTATATCCTGGGACTACCGAGTAAGTAATGCAGTTGTTAGGAAACGGGTACTAGGTAAGGATGTCAAATCAATTGATGAAGTGGTGAAACTTCATCAGTTGAGATGGCTGGGACACGTTTCACGTATGCTCAACCACCGACTGCCTCGACGTGCTATGTTTTATGGTGTAGGAGTAGATCGGAAGAAAGCTAGGGGCGGCCAGACCAAAACATGGCACAAATCCATGAAGTCACTGACAAGTGGACTGAGTCATGTTGGTAGGTGTAGACTACCTTGTTGGTAACCGCGAGATGATAGCAACCGATGGCTAGAGACCCTGAATGACATGGCTCAAAATCGTTTGCAATGGCTCAGGTGCATCCACTCTTTGTGTTCTCCCAAATTCTAATCATCTGAATTCTTCATGTCACTTGTTTTCTTTCCAAATTTATTTCACTGTATTATACTCCTTGAATAACATATTCAAACACTAATCTTTCCGATTACTGATTACACTTTGACTACCTCTACCACTACGGGATTTGAATCGAAAATTGTGTCTGTGTTGTAATGTGGTGTGGCAACTCGAACTGATGTACGTACGTACGAAGTTCTACGTTGTTACTGACTGATTGACTGAATCTTATTTATACGAGTCAATTTTTAATTAATTCTTTAAAATTTTCTTCTCTATTCTTTATTTTCCATAATAATTTTTTTTTCTTTTATGACAAACTAGAAAAATGACAAACTGTTCATGTAATCAGTATATTCTTTATATACAAACATTAAATAATTCATATAATAATAATAATGATAATCAATGTCACGCAATCTAACAATGTTTTTATTGTTTTACACTTAACAAATTGTGTTTTTTATTCCTATCTTTGTGACCATTATTATTCGGCATGTAAAAAAGGAAAGAAAAAGGAAAAAAAAGAAAAAAGGAAAACGATGACATTATCAGAATGAAATGAATAACTAAATATATTCTTGATGAAATGAGTCATTTTTCTCAAAATATGTTAATTTTTTAACTCGAATTTTAAGCAATCCTTACATATATGAGTACGTCAAATAATTAGTTTCCATTTATTCAGATTTGAGTATATATATATATATATATATATATATATATATATATATATAACATTCAGAAAATTGTCCAAATATTAGTTCATGTCAGTATAAAATAGTTCCCACTAGAGAATTTTTCACAAATGAAACTTCACTTATTAACCATAAAAAAAACATACACGAAAACTTGAGGTAGTTTAGAAGTAATAGTTTTACACTTTGAAATTGCACTATTGAATTTCGATGGAATCATACTGTTCATTTAGAATTCTAAATCTCACTATTTTATATTTCTTTTCATCTTGATTTGACTGGAAGCGTTTTAAAAGAAACAAACAATCTGTCTATTTTTTTTAAACTGATACATAGTAGTATGCTATAATGCTTTTTAAATAATGGTAAATATTAATTTCAATAGTTGAAATCTTGAGTCGATTGAAGATAGAAGACCATGAAAAACCTGAAAGCATTGGACAGCCATTTTGCTTCACTGCGGGACTCCTCGGTAGTGCGTATCCACAGTCCAACCTGACGAGATTCGAACTCACAATTTATCGGTCTCGCATGCGAATGCTTAACCTCTCAATTTTGTACAATTTAGTTGAAGTTAGACATTAACACCGCTGGATACCGTCTCAGTGGTTTAGAGGTTCGCGCGCGAGACCGTTAGGTGATTTGTTCGATTTTCGAGATGTGGGATCGTCAATCCACACTGCTGAGAAGTCCCATATTAGGACAAAACGACCGTCCACTGCTTTCAGGTTTTCCATAATGGTCTAGATTCAAATGACTCATGATTTCAACTATTAAAACTCATGAATTTATTATATTTTCAATTTTTTTCTCAATTTTTTTTCTATATCGCATAGCTTCCAAGTCAAATATATTTGTGAAACCAATTTTACAACAAGAAAATCAATATCTGTAAGTTAATCGTAATTAAATCATAGTTCTAATATCAACTTTATTCTAATAATCTTTAAACGTTTAATATCAACGTTATATTCAACATAATTTTGACTTAACTCGATATAATTTAAAGGAAATATAAGTAAAGCAAATAGTATTTGAATAATGATATTGCATTATTCATTCAATGAATTTTTTATTTATACAATCATTTTGTGAGTAGTGCCTAGTTGATATAACTAGAAATAAAGTGTCAACAACACGATATGAGGTTAACACATACTTTTTTCAAGGTTTGACAAAATGCAAACATTTTTAAGCGTTCTTTTATGTCCATTTATTGGATGACTGCAGAATGAAAGAAAACAATTTTCAGTAAAGATTGTCTTTTCAGTCCCTGGAGCTAATGAAATATATCTTGTATGAACACGAGACTATATATAGCTTTTGTATTTCAAGCAAATACAATGAACTAAGTTAAAATTATAGAATATTTACTATGTTACTACACACATTTACTAATATAATAAGTGCCAGTTACATAGAGTCATTTTATGATAAGCAACTGTAGGTCTTTCAACTAATCATTACACCGACTTCAGTCAACGCAACACAAAATTGATGAATAATTATTAGGTTAGACTGATTTATATGAATTGTGTATGACATCAAAGTAATTTCTACAACTGACTGATGTTTTCCGAAGAAATCAATGAGTACTGAACAATTATTTGTTCTAGTTTAAGCCTCTTCAAGAGCATTTTCAAACGACTACACTGGAACTGAACTAGGAACTTCTAGGTTTCACAATTATTTAAATTAAGATGTTTTTTGAAATTCAAACTTCAAGAAGTTTTCTTTGCAATTGTTATATCTTGTTAATGTTATGAAAATTGGCAACGGAGATGGGATTCGAACCCGAGATAGGGCATTTCTCTGAAATGGACATTTCTGGATCACTGGGCAAATCATGAATGACTGCTACTACTTCGTTTACATCACCGCTTATCAAGGATTCACGGAGGCTTTCATCGATACGTTCATACATTCTGCAGTCATTTTCCAGTTCTGTATGCAAATTAGAAATTAACTCATCAACGGTCACATCTCCAAAACATGGATAATTTAGCAGCCGTGTGCGTAAATTGTCCAAAAAATTCAACAGGCTCTTTTTGAAACGCTGCTGTTGTCGCTCAAATAGCAACTATAATTGATTGGTAGAGATAACCATTTTCTGAATCAGCACCGTAATGAAAAATACTGTATAACTAATTAACAATCAATGTCGTTAAAGGACACCGGCGAGAATTTCGCATGCTGATTGCTCAAAATGATTACACTGAATTTTTTTCAATCACAGGCTGACCTTGATTCATTAATTTGAAAACTGAGGGTTCAAGACCTTTTTTCACCCTGTCGCCAAAACCACCCAGTTTACATTTCAACAGTAAATTATACTCATTCATAAATAATATACCAACAAAATATAATACATATGATCAATTAAGTTAGAAAACGTAGATTGATAGGTAATTTCAAGGCGTTCACAAAACTAAGGTTTAATGTTTATAAATTATTTACAGTTATTAAAAGATATATCTTGCTATTTTACACTGGAAAGACATGCAATGAAAGTAGTCAAGTAAATGTGAATTATGTTGTGACCATTTATATTATTTAGCTTAACTACTAAAACCACTTCTCATTTATAGACAGTAAATATGCTTACTATGAAATTTCTAAATGAATAAAGCCTAGTATTACGCCCAGAAAACCCATAGTGTTTTTTTTTCAAAGCTTTATATGAAACAGTATGAAAATAAAAATCGCACACTAGTAACAAAATATGTTACTTTTGGAAGGTAAAGTGATATATATAAAAAATAACAAACCATTCTGTTACGTGAACGTTTTTTTTTGAAAACATTATGATAGGCTGAATAAAAATAAATCCATTAAGAATAATCAATGTTGAAAACTTGTGAAAAGAGTTCTTTTTGGAACATTAGCACGTCAGGTCAATAACTTGAATGTGGTGTAAATCAGTCAAACAAGTAGTAAATTAACACTTTAAAATTTCACTGATAATTTGCTTCAATATTTCACTATTATGTAAATTAAACTTTAATCTATTAGATATTACTAATTTCTTCATGTTTACTTCTACATTATGTTAATTAATTCTAATAAATGGATAAACCTTATGTCTATATCACCGTGTTAGTAACTAGTAAAAACTAACTTTCCTAATAGTATCTTAATACTAATGATCACAGATGGAATTTAAATGTAGATTTCAATATTAATTTAATTTATAATGGTTTGAATCATTGCATTGATGATATTTTGACTGAATTTCGATCAATCTTACATGGTTTTAGTGGATTATATACGGAATGTCTCCATTAGGTTAATAAGACATAAATTTATATGGAATAGATGTAGTGAAGTTAGCGGTGGAATCCAGGACACTTACATTATCCTACTTTGGACTGGTTGGCTGAATCTATTGGGACAGTCCAAAACATTACAAACTAAATAAAAAATTTGTACTTTTTGCACAAATCAGTAACTATATGAACTTTATAGCTAAATGGATAATGTGTTGGCATTTGAAGCTAGAGATAATGAGTACGAATCCCCAAGTAAATATCAACTCTGAGATTCAGGTATGTTTCATACGGGACAAAGGAGACTTTCTAGCTTTCATTGCTAGCCACATACCATCCAATCTGTGCTAATTTGAAAAGTTTAGTAAAATGACAAACAAAAATAATGTATTCAGCAATTTTAAAAACTCCCGTTCATAATTATAGTTCGTTTTCTTACCTAGAATCAAAGTTGTAATTACACTGTCATAATTCATAGTTTCTTTTTGCTGGAAGATTAACAGTAAACTTATCTTATTCAGTTTTCATGTTATTTACAGTTTTCCCCTTTATTTGTTTTGCATCGGAAGTTACTCCTATGATTAAGAAGGTATGTTGTTAGGGTTATAGCAACCAATGTTTCTTCCCTTAGGCTTTATTTTTCTTTCCATCCGTTCATATATATATATATATATATAGGTAGATAGCGTGAGACTTCAGAAGGTTCAAGTGCTTCATAGATGTAAATGACTAACCTCAGATTTAGTTTGTCATCACCCTTACGTACATCTGATTGTTTCTCTTAATAGCTGTCCGCCGTCTGTTTTGTCAGTATATTTTATCGCTGATAACATTCAGTCAAATAAAAATTTCGTTATGCCACCTTAACTCATTTGTATTGCAATCTGAGTCTAAACCTTGGAAGACTCTCATGCAGTTTTCATATCTTGTCTGTCAACTTATGTATACATTTATCACAGTTGTCGTAACAAACAGTATACAGTTTCAGAGAAACAAAGTTTTAGAAAAATATTGAGTTCATGCAAATGTACTGAAGTCGTGATCTCTATTTTGGTACTCTATCTCCACAACACACAAAAATACGTACGGTATACTCCGAAACGTTTACTGAAAATAGAATAGTTACAATGTCCAGTTATTATTATTATTATTATTATTATTATTAAATTTGTTTTACGCATTCAATATGCATAGATGCTGATAGAACTATTCTGTATCTTATCCAATGCGAAAATAAAAGTACTCTGCTAAACTTCCGCCAAAAACCCTTTTATATAAAATCAACTTTAGATTTATACAGAATTTTATACATAAACACCTTATCAAACTATTTGCTAACAAGTGATTGGAAAGCTGTAATTTCTGAAAATAGTCAAGTTGACAATACGACAGTAATTCAACAAGGACATTAAGTGAAAATCATTGTTGACTTCTAAATCACTGAATTCCAGCATATCTGTCGAGAAACAAACATTCAGTTCTCCTATGCTCCCAAACCCCCTCCAGCTTCTATCACTTTCGTATGAAAATTCCCTTCAGCAAATGTCAAATATATATATATCTACCAGTATAATGTACCATGAAATGTATTTAATCATTTAAACAGCCTTTCAAATATATCTGCCTAAGAGAATATGAACTAATCTGAAATCGCGAATCCCATAAGTGAAGTTTATTATTCCTATAAAGTGTTTTTACAACTTAAGCCATAAAAAGGATACAAATAGAAATAATGGGAAGTCTATATTCGAACTCTTGAAAGTACCCATGAATAACAAATTAATTTTATCACTAATATTCGTGCATATCATTGATTATGCAAACTTATTGTCCAGATTTAGACAATTTCATATTATGGTATTATTATTAAAGATCTAAAATCAAACTCTTCCTCAATGACAAATAAGTTAATCTAGTAATCACATTTAATTCCCTAAATATAAGATTTTTATATACTTTTTGGTACTTACAAAGTTAATGAAGTTGGAAGGTTCACAATGGTGAAAGTCTCGAAATTATTACACATAATAAACATTGAGGATCTAATAAACTCAGAAAAATTACACTCATTTAAAAAAAAAATCTGGCTTATTCTAGATCTCATGTATTTTCAGGTTCATTCTTATCACTCAGTACTACAATTAACAGGTTGTTGTTTAATTATTAAATCCTATGCTAACAAAACTTTCATTTATAGGTAGTAACCCCAAGTAATCAACTTTGTGAGGGAATCATTATAAAATCTCTATGGAAGGACTATTATAAAATTTAGAAGAAATTCAGCATTTTATTGTCTTTATACTCTGACTCGAGGAAAGCTCTACGTACTTTCTAAAGTTCAGATGTATTTCCTTAAACTTAGCATGTATTTTATAAAATTCTTTTCCTAAAATTTTCAAGAATTTCCCATTATTAATTGCCCATATAATTACTTATATAGTTAAAAGATCTTAAATCTAATACTTTAAAAGACGAAACTATCCGTTACGGGCATCATTAAATCAGAAACAAGCACATTTTTAGTAATCTCATAAAGTTGCTTAGGTCGTCTATTTTATAATAAATGAGACCTTCACTTATTGTTATTGAGAAAAGTAACTTATCATCCATCATTAACTGATTATTCTGAAAATAATATTAAAGCCTAATGAATAACAAAGCCACAACATTATTTCAGAAATTTGAATTATTTGTTTGTTTATTCTTATCATCTTGACTTTTATGTCAAGCGCCCAATTCTAATTTTCATTTCACTAAAACAAAATAAAATTGTTAAAAGGTTCTATTTAACACAAGATAAGTATAAGCATCTTTTTCTACTTGTTTTTCATATATATATCATCATGATGACTCATTTATTACTTTTAAAAAGCTAATAAATTATCATTATTTCTGGTAGTAGTAGTAGTAGTAGTATTACTCGACAGACAGAAAAAACACAGTTTACTTTCAATACTGTTGTTATACAACAAATGGACATTATCCTGTATGAAAATGAAATGACTAAAAGCTTTTTCTGTCATTTGTTTCTATTTATGCCAAACACTCGATATAATTCTCTACAAAATATGAAATAGGACTATATGGAAAAGAATTACATTTGTTTTAGAACACATACATCCATACTCCTTTATTTATAATCTTTATCTTCAACAACTTTTTTCATATATGCTATTCTTAGATTATAACAAAACAAACAGTGAAAAGAGAAAATATAAGTAAAATATTACAAATGTAATGGTTAAAATAACTTCATTGTCATTATTGATCTTATAAATAAAGCTTTATAACTGACATTTTGAAGACATTTACATTGACTTGATGGATTGAAACTAGTCATTTATGAATGTACTATAAAAGACTAATACTAAATTATTATCGTGATTAATAACTAGTTTATTCATACTAATCTATGAATGATTACATGTGTCATTGTACCTTCTTGATTGTTAAAATTAAAGACTAGCATTCCAGATATTCAACGTTGTTATCAACATTCAGGATGCATAAAGTTTAGTGTTAAATATGATTTAGAATTCTAACGAACCAAATTGTCTATACTGTTTTAAAGCACATAAGAATAATTTAATATATGATATTTTTCATCTGCTTCTCTCACTCAGTTATCGGTGAATTTAACCTTGGTTGATTTGGGCTTAGTTAATCATACTGATCAGGATAAAGATCGATTCTCATAAAGAATAGTTGTCTTTTACTTTTCATGCAGTGAAATCAATAACTTTACTCATACTTTACACATTCAGATTATGATATTAACATGGGACTATGTTAAGCATCCTATTTTGAAGCGCTATTTCTAGATAATGAATCACAGATTCATTGAGCTCATCGGTATCAAATAAAACTAAACGCTCAAGCTCAATCCCACTAGTAACTAATAACAGAAGAATTATAAGCCTACATACATCAAGCAATATCAGGGTGCCCCATAGAGAACTTCATACATTCATAGAATATTAATAATTGATTCTTAAATATCAAAAACAGGTTAATAAAAACTTTTACAATAAATAAAACATTCATTTTCATAGATTTTTTCTCCGATTGTTTGAAAGTATCTTTAAATAGTAGCATTTACTTGCCTATATAATTTCTTTTTATAAAATATAGTATGAATTCAATAACTGCTGAATCTGATGGTTTCTGTCAAGAATTTCATAGTAATGTCTGTGGTAAATACCTAATGGGTCATCGTGTCTATGTAACAAGAGAATTTCAACAAGCTCTTATAGAAACACAAATATCTAAATGTAAGTTCTAATATTCGATATATATATACAATACTTTTCAGATGTATCCATGTTGAAGTAGCTTTTAACAAAATTTTTAATTATACATCATTAAAATGAATACAAGATGAACTTTCCCTAATTTTTTTTCATTGATTTAAGTAGTTTTGTAAGATCAAATTTATGTTCTCAATGTGATTTAACATTACTATTAGTTCAATAGTCAAATTTATGATTTTTGCAACTCAGGCTACCCATTGTATAAATTCATTTGGTGTTATTTTACTTATATCTTCTCATTGTTATTCAGGACTGTAAATGATCAGTCCCATCTTGGTATATTTGTATCCTGTGCGGATTGCCGCGATATTGCCTTAGGTGACTAGCTTTATAAGCCATCATCTGTTAACTTCAGTCTCTAATCGATCTCTCTACCTAAAGTTTACATTAAATTATGTGGTTGATGGAGCGACTAATGAAAATATGACAACTTATGATATACATGCTTATTATTTTCATTTTCAGTGTTGTAATACAACAAATTCACACTATATGGCAATTAGTAAATAGAAGAGGATTTAATATCTTGGCCTTGATAAAGTAAATTGTCCTCTGACAATAAACGTATCTAAAATCAATGGTAATAGTAATACACAATTCAAGATAAATGCTCGAATGATTTACCTTGTAGTAAACTTGTAGTAAATTAAATCTTGTTTAAATCTGAAGCCTTAATATTTATTTAAACAACTGCCTAATTTCCTGTAATCTGAAAATAAGACCATTTACTGATGGCTACAACTATACGAAATATACTAAGACGAATTCACTTGGTATTGTTTTATTTGTATCTTCCCTTTGTTATTTAGGACTGCAATTGATCAGTCCCATCTTGGTATATTTGTATCCTATCCCGATTGCCTTGATATAACCTTAAGTCCTAAGCTTTTTAAGCAAAAATGGATAGTGGCTAACAATGGAATCCAGGACGCCCATTTCGTCATATTTGGAACTCGTCGTCTAGATGTGTTTACACCCGAGTTTATATTCATGCCGGGACTCGAACTCAGTACCATTCGCCATCGCGTTACCCACTTTTTTACTGAGCTTTGACAGCCGCCTTCTTGTGCAATGGGAAGATATAAGTAAAACAACACCAAGTGAATTTAAACTTCACCTCATTACACAAGTAGGTGCTTATCAGGACTCAGTAACAAGGTGGATAATGCGATGGCGTTTGAAGCGAACGGTACTAGGTTTGAATACCGGCGTGAACATCAACTGTGGTATTCAGACACATCTATCTGGCGAGTCTCAAATAGGACGAAACGCTCATCCTATATTCCACTGCTAGCCACTATCCATCATGATCTAACTGTAAATTGTATCCAATGAAAATATTATATAATTAACTAGTTATTAATTTATATTATAATATAGTATCCAAACCCATCTATTTAAGCATAAAACAACAAACATGATCTAGACTTCCTGTTTTATATTCAGTATTATTTTATTATTCGTCAGTTTTCTGACCAGTTCTTTCACGTATGAAAAAGAAAATTATGGACATTTCAAGTTAACCATCTCACTTAATATATAACATACAGAAAAAACACACGCACCATATTCGGTCACAATCAAACCATTCAGCTTAGTGTACAAATCTACATCAAAAATTATCCAACTGAGTTATAAATCTTCTCCATTATCATATAATATTGATTAACACGTTAAAACGAATCTGTTCAAAGTATAAATTGTCAACTTTATTTAGTTGTGGTAATAGAGTTATTTTCTTTTTCTTCTTCTTGCCATTTGCTTTTCAATTTGTGTTATTTATGACTTAGTTTTGTTTTTCATGATAATAAACATTGACTTTGTTTTATGTAAACTAATAAATTATGTTTAATTGAAAACTATAATTTTGTGCAGTAATTTTTAAATATCATATTCATTATACATTAAAATTTAAACATTTCAACCAACCCACGAAATTGAACGTCACATCCACCCATGTCTTCAGTGAGTTACTATCTTTCGAATCTCGCGAGGAGGGATCGTGGATACGCACTACTGAGAAGTCCCACAGTAGGAGCGAACGGCCATTCAGTGCTTCCAGGTTTTCCATGGTGGTCTAGCTTCAATTGACTAATGATCTCAACTTTTAAAATTAATATAATGTCCACAAAACCCATTCAAATATAGATATGATCATGCGATATTTAACTTTAATTAGAATTCGGTTTCACTATGTTTAACTATTTCAACTGGTTGGGAAAGAGAAGTGTATTCCAAGTGCTAGTCTGTTTTACCATTATAAAAAAGTCAGATATCTTTCTTTACCTATCAGTTGCTTAGTAAGTATTTATCCACACACTTCATTTTCTAAGTGTCTATTTAAAAATATACTTCAAGTGACTCCGATAAATACAGTAATGTCGCTTATTTTAAGTCTATATCTCTTCACTTCCCCTAATGACATTAGGCTTACGCGGATTTCTTAAGTTTAAGATAATTGCACCGCTGATTGACCTTATCTATACAACCACTTAAAATATAGCAGCTCTAGACAGTCGTTTGTCTTAGTACATGACTCCTCAGTTGTAGGTTTTTATGAGCTATCTAGGAATCTAACTCAAAAACTTTATCCTTTGTAATGGCTCTGTAATCTGCGGGAATAGACGATGGTTACGCATAATAGTGAATTGACAGTAGTTAGAATTCCAAACCAATAAACGGCGATTTCGGAATCTTAGGGATGAATGGTCAACCTGAAGATCATAAGTTCCATGCCTTGCGTCATCATGAATGTCCATTTGTACTTTAACTAAAGCTAGTCAGTGATGTAGACTATCCTCAATAACCGGATACCTTAGACTTTGATATAAACTTTGTACTTGGATTCACTGTCAGAATATCTGTGTATGATGAGTTATATTACTATTATTATGTTTTGTAATTTAACACCACAGATGGTGTTTGTCTTAAACAAAGTAGAAAAACAAGCACCTGTTTGACCTAATTATTTCCTAAACTTTCCTGTTGGTCAAAAATGTATCACTATACATATTGAAGTATGAAAACGGTTTTCGTTTCGATTCCTTTTAAAGTCATCTTTGTAGTGCTGGCGTAGAAAAACATGATTTTAACAATGACGGATTTTCATTCTAAATTAATTACTAAATAATACTTACTATCATATCATAGTCGTTAATAGAGATTAGGGGTATTTGATCAAAATAAATCAGTTCATCTGGTGGTAAATATTAAGGTGTTAAAGTTTCGTGTATTTTCTTCCTAGATTTTTAAGGCTTATCTATAACCCCCATAAAACCCTGTATTCTCAAAACAGGTCATTTTGATAACTTCAAACATGCTATTGTATAAAACATGATCTAGAAGTAGTCAAGAATCTGTTTAGATCTGAAAACCACCTGCTCCGATCTGGGCACCCGGGAAGTATCACAGCCCTCTCAAGAATCAAGTGACTTGTGTGGCACATATGTATTCTGTGCCACTTTGTACCAATATTTATGTGTTCAAATAAATAAATAAAATACAGTAAACAACTAAGTTAATCCTTCTTTAGAATGATGGAAGAGTGACAGTGTTTGTATTCTGTTAAATGTCTTGGGAAATCCTCACCAACAAAGTTGTTATTATTCAACAATGATTCTATCAACTTAATTTAATTCATATAAATAAACTTGCTTCATAGTTGTTACAATAATGAATTCTCGCTACCTGTACTTGTTAACTTTCATAAATGAAAAAAGATCTCATTTATATATAATAAGTAAATTAATATTGCTGGTTCAGGATATGGCGATTTTTTTATTTGACCGAAATCCATATACACAATATCTTCACTGTTTATCAGACAGAAAATCAACATCTGAATAAAGATTTTAAAGCAATTATGTTATTGTTTCCAACAGTAAAATAAAAATGAATGAGTAAAATTGCTATTTCAATTAAGAATTTGATCGATTTTACTTATTCAGAACAGAAGTTGGAACCACTAGACAGAATAGGTTGTTAACTCCTTGTGCTTTTGTTTATAAGAATTATATGATTACTGACCAGTCACTATTAAATCTAAGTTACAAATTATCAAACAGTTTGTTTATATTTCGTTCTATTATTTTTTATTCATGTCTTAATTTGCAGAATGTTATGCATAAATTATGCTTTTCAATTTTAACTACTAATATTATACACAGTAGTAAAACATTCTGTTCAAATAATCTTCACAAGAAAAGATGGGTTTCAAAATGTTACATTAATTTCGATGCAATTTTCACTGTCACACAAATTAGAATGTGGTGTTTATTAACCTAGACATCCAATCTCCAAGCCCAAAGTGTACACTGATGACTGCTCAAGAATACAAGATTTTGAGTATGATTTAATTTCATGGGGACAGCGAACATTTTTCGAAATATTTTTTGTATAGATGAATTAGAATATTGTTAATCAAATCTCATTCAAAGTACGATCTTAACAACAGATTTCTCTTTTTCTCATTTTTCCGTGTCTCTTCAGGGTAGCTGTTTAAGTATTTATCAAATTTCACTGTATTCCATAGCTTATCACATTTTCTTCTTTTATAAAAGAGATGAAATTGCAGAGATGAATTTTGATGGTCACAACCCTTACCCATATAAATATATACAGTTACATTAATCATGATTATAAAATTCGAAATAATAATCTGTTCTCATTTTTTTCAACAGTAGTCACTTCCTATTTGTATTGTAAACTAATATATTGCTATTATCACTATTACTATTGTTATTCCTTATTTCTTATAGTTCTTAAGCTTACTGCAACTCAATCGCTACATCGTGTGCGAGAAGATTGTTTAAGACGTTTAATGGAAGCAATTTGTTATTACAATTTTCCAGTGTGTTTAGAAACAAAACCTGTTTCTTTTGAAAATGATGTTTCAAGCGAAACACAATCATTAAATGAGAACTCCATGCGTTATTTATATCAGACACGTCATTTATGCAGACAAGAATGCGAAAATGTAATGCAAAATGAATGTGGACCAACATATGACTATTTGGACAGAAAAATTCTGTATGACTGTAAGTGGCATATATATGTATATAGCTTTCATAAAAAATGAGCTCTTCATTGAATTTGTAGTTTACGGACTACGAAATCAGCATTAACAAGGATCTCTGAGTTTCAATATATTACTCACCAAGTTTTGTCTAAATCTAAGAATTGAACAGTTATTTTATATCTAAGCATTTCATCAGTACACACAATTACTACGCTATATACAATCGAACTACATGCATTTATGCATTACAGTTGGATACAGCTTTTTTAAGTCACTGTGCTGGAACCTAATAACTGAACGTGATTTTTAAATAACGCGATATACACATCTATTCGCTATCTGTATATTGTAAAAGAAATTCTCAGTCAAAAGTGTGTTTGTAATTTTGAAACATATTAAGATTTTGTTCTTCTTTTAGCAAACAAGACACTACAGTGTCAATCTTAAGGGAAAGAAAAGACGAAAATGACATCGATATTGTAACGTACCCAATTGTATCTTGGTGAAAACCAGAGTGCTGTTATTTGTAGCTTCAGGCTCTATGACATAATATTTTTATTACCCTACACGTGATCTAACTCGAAAACGAAAGCATCCATAACATCCTGATACTACTCCATTGTAACCTAATAAGCTACAGTTTTAACTTCAATCTTTATCTGACATCGATTGATATCGAAGATCAGAGTATTCCTCTACAAGTTTTAAAAGTTGATCTCAAAATTATTTACTAACTACCATGTAAAATCGGTTCATGATTAAGATAACCATCGGCTTATCTTTGTCTTTATTCTACTTCCGATTCATGTTCGCTTAACTGACAAAACCATTTTCAGTTATGCTAAATTACATGAGTGATGAGACCATAATTTATGGACAACCTTTGAGCAATGCTAAAGTGGCCTTGAGAGTGTCTACCTACTTACTAGGGCTAAATGAGGGTTAGAAAGCAGTTTGAAGAATAAGCATTATGATTCACAGTTAATTGTTAGGGTTAGGAATTAGATTAACGGTTTTTCATCATGAACTGACATCAACTAGAATGCCAAGACGCTATTTGGCCAAATGGGTGAGTGAATTTCGCGCCAAAATCTAAGACCTGTTACTCTAAATCTGCTTGGTTCGTTTATAAATTATAATCTCACCACATAAGTTGCATGAAACTAAATTGGTTTAATATAAGCTCTACGTACTAACGGCATTTTATTTTTAAAACAAAACTATATTTTTTAAACTTTCATCGTTTTTGCGGTTCACAATATAAACACACGTAACTAAACGAAATGTTTTAAACGTCTTTTTCGTTTCATCATTCAGGTTGATACGTTTCTTATTATTTATTTTCAAAAATCCATTGTCTTCTAGGGATATTTTTGTTTGAATACAAAAAGTTTAACGTATTATCTTTTTAACAACAATGAAAACTATTTCAACAATATTTTTCTCAAAATTTAGTACCGGAAATGATTATGGATTGTTCACGTCTACCGATTTATTCACTGGATAATCCACAAACCTGTCGTCGTATAGGTGAACCTTTGATTATGTCAGAACAAAGTAAGTTAGATCTGACGACTATAACTTCCTCTTATTTCACCTTTTGATAAACTGTACTAATCTTTCACTTTATACATGATCAGTGAATTATCAATGAATTCTAACAATTGAAATTATTATTGTATTATGGCTAAGAGTGGGATTCAGGAGGCATGTTTCACTTTTTGAGACTCGTCACTGGAATTTAATTGGGCAATAATGTTGTGATTTTAAACAAGTATCTATTATTTTAAACAGTAAAGCGTTATTCCATCAAGCTATTGATTTCAAAATAGCCAGTAAATTACTCATCGCGTGCTGAATTATCCTTAGAACTTAGATTTCTTCCTTGTCTATTTTACAGACTGTAGTAAATTGACCACTATCGGTATACGCGTATCATGAACGGACTACTTTGATATTGCTACTTAGTTACACATTCTAGTAAAGTTCTATTGTGATGCAAAATGATCAGTTTTTAAGCAAAGTTGCTTTAATGATAAAATGACAGCAAATTATAAATTTTTCTTTGTTTAACTATAGTTGGGTAACGTTCCATGCCAGGCATTAACTTAATACAATTTATATAACAAAGAGATGAAACATTTCCTTTATTGACTAACTAATAAAACTAAGAATTTTTCACGCAAGTGTTAACAATTATTCCAAAAAATGCTACGGAAACTGATAAATGTTTAAACAAAATGTTCAATGAATCCCAGTTACTAATCTGCTTATGACTTTTAGTAAATCTGATTGGTTAAACTCACAAACTACTACTTGTCTAGTTAGGTTTTCTTAGTGGCTTCCAGAAAAATAAGATTACTTATAGCCATCTATTTAAATTCCGGTTTCTGTAATTAAATTCCATTCGTATAAATAACTTATTTTAAGAATCAAGGTTTGTCTAATAGTATGAGCTTTCTTGTTTACGGAGAGTTTATTATAAAAAAAAACTTACTTAGTCCTCAGATTTCATAAATCTTACTTGAATGATAAATATTTCTGGTAATAATGGACCCCAATAGTCAATCAATGACTAAATTTGCATTTATATTATACTAGTAACACAAATAAAAGAAGCTACTTTCGGAATATTCCTGTAATTGTTAATATTGATTTAAAAACAAAGTAAAATCAATCATACTGAAGTCTTCACACGAAAGCATTAACCTACTGATTAGAATTATCATCAATTTAAAAGTAACAACTGGTGCTTAGATTAAGTGAAGTACTTTCTGTGCAAACGAGTTTACTATTAAACCACCATATCACATCTTTAAATTATAGAGGATAATAACAAGGAATCATGTGTAATTACTTTTTAAAAAATAATCTGAAACCAATTAAAATTGATGTGTTGTAACCAGCAATTTAAATAATTTTTGTCCGATCCTTGAGCTTAAACATATATAGAATCTTGATACATATAATTTTTGAAATTTCCCGTTATAGTATCAGAATACAGACAAGATAATGATGGACAATTCTGGGAAGAGCATCATGTGGCGGCACCATCATCTGGTCATTTGATGGAAAAGAATGAAAATGGTGCCTTATCATCTAGTCAAGAATTAAATACTGCGTTATCAACTGGTCCTGATTTGTTACCAATTTTTGTTTCATTTGGGGCATTAGCATTATTGGGTCTTGTTCTTCTTGCTGTATGTTTTCTCTGTCGACATGGTAAAAGTGATTCACCGCGTTTAACAACAGATAGTTCAAGTTTTCTAGGAAGGTCACGTATTCGCTCCAACTGTCGAGGCAGTCGTAATTGTTCTGAAACTGAAAGATTGGATGGATTTCACGTGAGAGGACAAGGAGTTGGAGCTCCTAATGACTCAAACCATGGCAGCAAGCAAAGGAGAGTCCCTGGAATGGGAGCTGGTATTAAACTAGGTGGTACAAACGGCTTTCTAAATGGTATGCAAGAAGCTTACACAACTACATATTGTGGAAGTAATACGATTTGCAGCACAAGTGATGCAAATGCTATGAGCGCACCAGCTACGGTTGGGCATAACAGTGTTTCTTCTAATCTTAACAACACAAATGGAGTGCTTAATGACACATCTATTTCTGCGGTTGCATCCGCCAAACATAATGGTTCTGCGACGTATTTTCAGTATCAAGCTTCTAACTTTTTGACCCCACAGTTGCCTCCTCCTCGAGCCCCTGCACCGCCACCGCCAGGATCACAATGTTTAACGACACAATCACAACTAGGCATTACAGCAATTGCACCAACATCAATTCCATTTAGTATGACCGACCCAACATATAATGCACAGTCATTTAATCAGTCTACCCACTTGCCATTAAATGGTGATATAATTCCAGAGGTAGGATTACATTATGAAACGAAAGCTGACGCTGAAAGCCCAGCGGCTTATACAACGCTTAGAAATGCTAGTCCTAATGAATTCTTGTTAAATGACCCTCCGTCATCAATTAACTCATTTAACGCTTCACAAAATGCCACACTATTCTCAAAAATTAACTTGGAAGATCAACCTATGAAGGCTGTGGAATATCCCATTTCTCAGTTGCGGTGAGTTTTATAACGATTTTCAACTCAAATAACTATATCTAAATTACTTATCATGTACTTTATTACATGAGTTAAGTTTGAATAAAGGTAGAATCAAAATAAAACTTGTTAGATCAAGAAGAAGAACCTTAATAATCCGTTAAGAAATTGTTAAATCCAAATAAAATTCTCAAATATCTTAATAATTATAGATGACTGATTTCTGTTTGAGTATTAAACTGATAATAACTTCTAGGCTAGCGATGAAACATATTGCTACTAAATGTCGAGTTTAAAAAAACAGATAATTTAAAAATTTACACGATGAACTACATTCATTAGGTAATCTAGTCCTGAACTTGTTTATTTCAAGTAAAAACCTCAGTTAATTACAGTTCTACATATATCAGTCGATCAAATAATTAGTTTAGTAATTTCCGTCTTAGTATAAATCCACTTCAGAATTAAAATAGTAGTTTTTATTTATTTATTTTAATCCCATGTCTCTCCTAATTTCTCTTTTTTATGTAATTATGTTAATCAAAGGTACATGGCCGAAGCTTTCATACTAAATGATAGTTTAACGTAAGACTAAGTAAAGACAATTTTAAGGTTGGAAACTGGGTATAAAGTGAAAATAAAAAGTGACTAACACGATGAAATTCAGTCACCAAATACAAGTTTGTATATTTATGTCTGAGTAGAAAAGGTAATCGGATCTAATACCCGACTATTTAAACGGAAATGGATTAAATGAAATATAAACTAACTGTTATGAGGTTGGAAGTGTGTTGTTTTAGAAACTAAACAATACACAACTATTTAAATATTCATCAAAATTCCATTGTGTTGCAAAGCAACAAATTTTTTTTTATATATTGATATTTAAATATGTTAGTTTATGTGTACGTTACATTTTAAATTATTTTTTTATACAAAAAGGTTTGGGAAACAATTTGGACAAGGTGTTTTTGGACCGGTTTATAAGGCTGAATTACTACCGAATAGTGCTTATGAAAATGGTCATCCAATTTCAGTTATTGTAAAAACCTTATCAGCTGGTTCACCTGCCAGTTTACAAGCAAATTTTCGTAGAGAAGCTAATTTAATTTCTGAATTAGATCATCCAAATGTACTTAGTCTTCTTGGGGTTAGTGTGCAACATCCACCATGGTGTATGATATTTGAAATTCGGCAATATCTTGATTTGTGTGAATTATTATCTTCAAGAAGATCTATGATTAATCAAATAAATTTAACAAATGTAAGTTATCCTAATGGTGTGACATCTAATTTGCCAAATCCTCTTAGTGAATCAGAAATTTGGAGAGTATTATCTCAAGTTGCTGCTGGAATGGATTATTTATCTAGTCATCGTTTCGTTCATCGTGATTTAGCTGCAAGAAATGTGATCATTTTAAATGAGCAATTATTTTGTAAAATTACTGATCTTGGCTTAGCACGTGATTGTTATGCAGCTGATTATTATCGTTTACATCCTCATAGTCTTATGCTACCGATTCGATGGATGCCACTTGATTCAATTATCTATGGTAAATTTACTATTGAATCAGATATTTGGGCATTTGGTGTATTGATGTGGGAAGTTTGGTCTGGTGGTATGAGACCATATTCTGCATATTCTGATCCAGAAGTTTTAGATTTGATACGTTCTAGACAATTATTATCATGTCCACAACATTGTTCAACTAACATCTATATGTTTATTACTAGTTGTTGGAATGAAGAAATTGAAAGACGTCCAACATTTAAAGATTGTTTAAATCAAATACAAAATTGGTATTCAGATGCATCCGTTATACCATCATTATATTCGAGTGAACAAATATTCTCTTATTCTCAGATTATAGATAACAAAATTGATTTCCAACAATTAAATAATGCTACTAATAATAGTATCAATGGAACAGAAAGTCTTTCAGAGACTTCAAAATCCAACTTATCAATACGTCAAACATGCCCGGGAATGTTTAATATAAACAATCATTTTACTTATCCTAAAGATTATTTAACTAAAATGTATACTGTAGATCCTTTTGAATTATTTCATCAACCAATAAATACTCCTAATACAACGATTAATAATAATAGTAATTCTATTAATCAATATCATAATTCTAGTCCAGATAATACAATAATGAATGGTAAATTTACATCACAAACACAAACACAATTACCAATCTCAAATATATCGAATAATTCAAATGGAATTCAAGAATCAAGAAATGATCATTGTAAATCATCTAATGGACTAGGTATTCGATTATTACCAAATACAACTACAATGTTTATTCCTACACTAAATTCTGTTAGTTAGTTAGTTCATTAATTAATCAATTAAGTAATCAAAAGATCTAAAGAGATTTCATCCAACCAAAAAAAATTGAAAGAATAATAATGAAAATGGTAATTTTTTTTAAAAACAAAAATTGCATTCACAGATTTCTCCCAAATAACAATTTTTAAATTTGTTAACATTGTATTATGACGTAATATTATTGTTCTGTTCCTCCCCCCTTTTTTTCTGAATAATTTATGTTTCATTATGTTAGTACCATTTATACATTCTCTTCTCCGGGGGGCTGGGTAGAATATAGGGGGTGGGGGATGAGAAGGGTGAATACAATCAGATATTAAATAAAAAATAAAGCGCTATAATAATTTATTTAGTTAATATATATTTGTTGATTAAACTTTCTTATCAAGAGATATAATTTGTTTAATCTTTTATTAATATGCTTTTACTATTCGTATACCGGTCAACATATATATATATATATATGATTTACCATACATAAGAATCAAATGAATATGAGAAATTGACTAATATAGGTTCTAGTCATAAAGAAAACAAAGAAAAAAAAGAAGGAGAAGGAGCTACACTGTAAATATTACTTTGTCCTTTGCAAATATAGATAAACAATTATCATTACTTTTCAATATTATTCAATTATTAACATTTTATTTGTATAATATAATTTCCATGTAATAATCATTCAATACATACAAATGTTGTACTTTAAATAGGACAAGAAATTGTAATGTTGGTTTCATTTTTCTTCCCTTGTTATCAATAGACATTTGAGAAGTATTTGTCATACAATGTTTATCTTATACATTTTGTTAATTTTCATTCATCATTGGTTAATATTCAATTAATATGATGAATAGAAAAACAATTTCTCAATTGAATACTTATTTGTAATAAATATGCATTTCTTATTTATTTTTATTTTTGTTTTTTTTTTGTTCCTTATGTTCACTACGTTCATTATAATTGATTAGTCAGTTCGTTAACTAACAATATTTGAAATGAATATTAAGCCTTTTTTTTCAATTGAATAAATAATTATAATGATGAGAATTTTTCCAGACTGATGTATATTAAAACAAAAAGTGGTATAAGTAAGCAGAAATTCTTCAGAGAATTCAGATGTCTATTTAAAATTCGATGAATAACTTTACAACAGAGTAGTCTTTGAGTAATTATTTGATTCAGACAATAGTTTGAATTAGAGACAATCAATCTCCAAGTTTCTTAACTTACAACTTTTAGAATAATATTACTAAACAACTAAAAAAAGGTGTTTTGTTAAATATGTTTCCATAGTAAGACAAATTATTGAGTCTTCAATAATAATGGATAAAGAATTTATTAAATAGAATCAGTGTTTTCATAGTCACATTTCAGTTAAATAGATGAAAGTATAGTGTAGGAATTAACCAATAAGTATCAAGAAAACGTTTCATATGTTTTTTGCACTGAATTTAAAAATGAATGATTATAATCTTGTACCTTGTAGAAATGAACTTTAGGAATATTTCTATTTAGTGCCCAAAACGTGGTCACAGAAAATTATTTGCTAGCATAATCGAGTGAAAATTAGTGTTGAACGTCCCAAATGCTAAACTCTCCCTAAATTGTTGTTCCTAACCCTATATTATTAAGCACATTCAGAAACAGAATGAGTATCTCTGAAAATTTATTTGAGTCCTTATAAAGATTCCAGAATACAGATAAGAATAATAATTTATATCCACATGGAAAAACTTATACGTCACCATTTTTTTCGATATACAGCCAGAAATTCTTGCAGAAGGTTTTAATAAATTTACTTATTATGTAAAATTTATGTCATTTGTAATGTTAATGCTTATTTCCCAGAAATTATTCATATACAAAGCTGTTCTCTGATTGATTAGCGACTGACTGAAATCCGTCTAGTCTATTTTAAGTTCATCTCCATGCTGTGCTCTTATCGTTAAATCGTGACACCATAATTCCTCTGTTATTTTATTCTGGTACTGCAGTGAACAGAACACGGGTGGGGACAATCGAATATATTTAGCACACAATTACAGAGTTACTCGGTAAAATAGAAAAACCAAATAGTAAATCGTTAATTCGCAAAATATGATTTCATCATATCAAACTGGACTGTGACTCTTGCAATCATCAATCCATTGTCTGGCATTTCATGGTTCATGCGTTTTCTTACCAATTGCATTGCGTTCCCGCTCTTCCTTTCTTGGTTTTCTCCCGTCTTCTGCTGCCAGACATTACGTTCTTTAACTCGCATCATATACTACTTATATCAATATAAGTAGCACACACCACAGTAGGACTATTATGTTGTTTTATTTGATTTTCGGACAGCCAGACATGTTTTATTTTCATTTGAAAAGCCGAACCAAAACGTTGTGTGAACAAATTTAGTACTTGTCTTCAATGAACAGAAAAACTAGTGTTAAAAGGAAGAATAGACATCAGTTGATGAAATTCTATTGCTAAAATGTTATTGAGTTGGTTTGTACCCAGATTGAACTCAATAGTTTTCTCACTATAAGAATTATAGAATTTCAATGAATTGTGATTTTAAAACAGCTCCTAATTTTAGGTTGTAATAGACTAATTTTAAATGGATTACTTTTAGTCAGATTAACTATCGGAGAAATGATCTAACCAGTTAAAAATGATGACTACCAAGAATAATTCCAATTTACGTAGTTAGTACATATTTTTATTGATGCCAGGAAGAGTAAGCGAACTGTAAAATCGCATTACAGTACCAATATTTCAGTTGGCTGAAATATATGATATCAACGCATATGCCGTAATAATTTGACTCTAAACTTTAAACTACGTATGCTATCTTTTCAGAATTCATTATAACAAATTTAGTGTTCGGTATCACTGTTAACTGATTTTTCTGGACTGAATAAGACTACTCGAATGCTTATTAACTTCACCGATCAAATATGATATAACGTTTTCTTACATTATTTATTTGAACCATTTGCAATTATCTTGCAGCGGTAAATAAATCCCCAAAATAAATAGCTCTGTAAGTTTTCGACATTGGATGCTGACCATATGTTTTAGTGGACTCATCTAGCTGAAGGCGCTCGGTCATGCATCCGCAGCAGATCACGTGTGGTAACGCTGTGCTCAACATCTACCGCAATCGCTAGCCAGAATAGATCAGAGAATTCCAATATATTGGTTATCGCCAAATACACTCTTCCGATCTCCTCGATTCTGTCTTTTGATTTCTCTCAATGGGTACAAATTATATTACAAGGTGTTGCTGGTAAAAGCGTTGTCAAACACTGAATACCTGTGTCATCTTCAATCTAATTCATGTGTAGTGACAAAAACTAAAATAAATAGTTGTGTAGACATTCGACTTTGATGTCGATCATGTTGATTTTGAATGAAAATCATTAGCATTTGTCCATTGGCAACATATCCAAGACATATCCCAACACCGGCCAAATTAGACCTTTCTTATTTCTCCTAGATCGCCAGATAAGTAGTTTTATGCTTATCTACTACCACGTATAATCGAATACATTGTTCTTTCGAACTATTATCTTTCTCTTTTGTTCATCTTCTGGACTCAAGTATAAGTTAACTTCCTTCTGTTGAATTAAGACTTTGTTACATTTACTCTTATTTTTGTGAGCTAACTAGGCCCGGGTAAATAAAAAGCAGGTGATTCCACGGGTAGCATCCTAACAGTTGAAGAACATATGGAACTGAAAACAACTGTCAACCAATATCAAAGTCAAAATCTTCTATACGAACGTCCAGATAGTTCTACTGTACGAAGCTGAAACTGGTGGATCTACGACAACCATAATGAAAAAGGTACAAGTACTTATAAACAATTGTCTACATAAGATACTCGATGTCCGTTGACCGGATACCATCAGCAACAGACTACTGTAGGAGAGAACAAACCAGCTTCCAAATGAATGGGAAATTAGGAAAAGACATTGAGAGTGGATAGAACATACATTATGGAAATCATCAAACTGCATCATGAGGTAAGCCTTAACTTGAATCCTGAAGGGAAACGAAAGAGAGGAATGCCAAAGAACACAGTGTGTCGAAAATCGGAAGCAGACATCCAAAACAAGAATAGCAACTGGAAACAACTGGATTGGAATGCCCAGTACAAAGTTGGATGGAGAATCCTGGTGGGTGGCGAAATCGAAGGCTTGGAAAGTAGTGCCACTATTTTATCTTTTTACCATCACAATTCAGTCATCTCCATAGTGGTGCTACGTTTAGTCCTTTTGAGTCTGGAGATACTCATCTATGACATGCCACAACTACTGAGGTGAACTTACTGTTTCCCTTTCGCAATTCCTTGTATTCATTTCTTGTCCGGCAATCGCTAATCATATGTGCACCGTATAGTAATGAATGATGAACCATTAATCATGCTATAGCAGATCACGTGAAATCGAGTTTGTTCACTATTAATTCAATTAAGTCATTTTATTAACTTATTAACGAACTGAGTCATCCGTACAACCACTTACCTAAATCACTGTATCTTTATTACTATTGCGAATGTATGAAAATGTACGCTTAAATATTGCTTACGGCCCACGCATTTATTCACTCTGCTAGTCTTACTACTAACCGCTTATTTGATTCGATGACTCATCCATTTCACTATATATATATATATATATATATATATATATATATATATATATATATATATATATATATATATATTCATGTCATTATAATGTTTCGAATTATTTGAATTATAGCATGAACTACGAGTCCAAGAAATAAAGCAATTGTATAAATAAGACACAAGCACAAACGAATGTACTGTATTTGGAATTCGAAATTGTACAATCGACATGTACAAAGGTATCATTAGTCAATTCAAACACCACAGTTATTCATATTGATCGCTTGCTCTGCTTTCTCGCTCGCTTGATTGTACTCGATTACTTATATTCGCTCAGTTGCTCGCTTGCCTGTTTGCCGTTCGGCCCAACTCTTAATGCTCGTTTAATGCATCTGTAATTTTGGACATCTGTGTGTGGTCTCGAAATAAACGTAACCAACGCTTCGTATTCGCCTTCTGAATCATATACCGTTGGGGTTATCTAGGACGGTTATCAAGACGAATTTTATACGAAGTTTAAGGAATATATCGAATACCGACCACCACAATACAGGCTTTATATGGACAGTGATGTTAACTTCTATCATTTGGTTTGTTTAGTTGTTTACTTCCTTTGGTCTTGAAATTTTTAAGTGCCGTTTAAATAACTGAGTTTAGCTGGAATTGTGAACACCACGTTTTAATATGAATTTATAATCATTCTTTCGTCTTACAATCACTGAACAGACATTTTTCTTCATTCAGGGCATAATCAGTTCCATGATTTATACTCATACTTCTAGTAGCTACATCAGCTCTATTTTCCCAATTAAGTTTGCCTCATATTCATCATAGCTATTCTCATTAGTTTGAATTGGCTCATACAACTTTTTACATTCACATTTTGTCATTGTTTTTGTTGTGTAATTATAATTAGTTCTTTTGGGCTGCAATTAAACCCAACTCAATTTCGTAAATGTGCCCTTCAGCTTAGCAACCAATCAGAATGATGTGGGAATTATTATATCCGCCAACTTTGTAAGCAAAGGCGGTCGTCTTTCTTCTTCCTGTGCCTCTTTCAGCTATTTCTTTTGTGTAGCTATGTAATTTAATGTTTCGGTGTGCTAAAATGCCGCGGTTAGTGTAATGTTCTATATGTTGGTGTGAAATTAACTACGAATCAGCGATTTTTTTCTGGGTTTTTGCTGCTTCTACTCAAGTCAATGTATTTTTCAGGCAATCCGGCTAGTCTTGTGTCATAAAATGTTAATGCGTTTTGTTCTGAGTTCTTTATTTCAGATATTGGGAGCCAAGGTTAGTTTTGTTAGCTTAAATAAGTGTTGCGGCTGTATGGAACTCGAAATATAGGCATAATCGTTCCTAACTGGCAAGCAAGGTCGTTTTTCTTATATCATAAAATCTTAATCCGTTATATTTTGAGCATT